GGATGAGTTGCCAGCCGCGCGTCTAATTGCACGTCTTCGTAGAGCCCCATTTAAACATGAGAAAGAGACGGGAAGTTAATGTTTATTCCTAATCCACTATATCAGAATATTTCAGCGTGTAATCCACCTAGAAATACCGACGAGACGCTTGACTTCTTGGCTCTGTTTCCTGACTCCGGGGTATTGTGCACTCGCAGCCGCCTCTGGTTAGACTGCACTTTCCGGGTGCTTTGTGGACACCCGGCCAGTGGCTGCCGCGCCGCACCGCGCCCTTCCCAGGGCTTCATGTGCGCGAACCGCCCTCCCGGTCGGTACTGCTACAAACCCCGTTTCACAGATGAGGCAACGGCACTACAGCTGTCACTTATTCACTGATCGTGTACCAGGTGCCAGGTGGCGTTTTACCTGCTCAATGGCGGGCAACCCTAAAAGTTAGTTGCTAACTTTATTCCCATTTTACGGGTAAGAAAAGTGGTTCAGGGAAATAAAGTGACCAGTTCTGTGCGTGTGTTTAAATATGTTTTTTATTGATTTTTAGAGAGGGAAAGAGAGAGAAACATCACTTGGCTTCCTCCCTCACGCACCCTTAAGGGGGATGGAGCCCCAAACCTGGGCATGTGCCCTGACCAGGAACTGAACCCACGACCTTTCTGGGCACCAGGTAACACTACACCAAGGGACCACGCCAGGGCTAAAGTGACCAGAGCATAGTCAGGCAGCCCGGAAGTGATAGAGCCAGGAATTCAGGACCAGATGTCTGATTTCAGATCCCGGGGAATTAAACACACTAGAGTGGGCTTTGCAGATGAACTCACAAACCAGGTAGCTCAGCTGTTTCTTGTTTATGAGTAGGCGTTTTCTAGAAGACTTCCATTTGCAGAGTAAAACGGATTCTGCGTCAAAAAAGCTTTAAGCATCCACCCGAAACTAATGCAATATTGTATGCCAACTGTACTTTAATAATTTTTTTAAAAAAACCTTTAAGCTACTGGATTGTATGATCCCTAAGGTTACCTCCAACATGGCAGTCTTGGAAAATATAGACCATTTCCTTTAAGATCAGGGCTTGACGCATTTTCTAACCTTGAAACATACTCTAGACCTTTACCTTTGCTTTTAATACAGAATGCTTTTTCCTGATAAACAACTTAGCAACTCACCAGCGGGCCATTTTTTCCCCCTTTTATTGGGGGATCAAACTTTTTCGAATACTCTATTAGCTGAATTTCTTTTTAAGCCTGTGGCCCAGGACTACAGGAGAAAAAGAATCATTTTATTAACGTCAGCATCACCATTCATTCATTGCTCATTCAACGGATATTTATCTGAATGCCTGTTACATACCAACTACCCACTAAACCCGGTGAGGTTTACAAAGCCTGTTGTGCTGGGGAAGTTGTGATCTGTGAGAGCGGGTCAGCAGTGGAGATGCGATACAGTACTAAGTGTATCTGCATGTGCTCTCTACTGCCTGTGCTCAGTCCTAGGTAATGTGGAGCCTTGAAAATAGGTGAGATTAAAAAGTAATCAGTTTTAGAATGGTTATGGGAGAGGAAATTCAGAAAAATATAAAGAAGAAAACAGATGGCCTACAATCCTCCCACCTAGCTATAAATGAAAGCAACACACACATTAGAAAATTCCAACAGTATCTGAAGGTATAAAATAAAAACAAAACACATATTTCTCTTGCCCCAGAAATAGTCATTTTAATAGTTTCTTGTATACCTATGATGAAAAAAAGTCTGCATCTTTTTTTTTTGGAAATCTGTGGCCCAGGACTAAAGGAGAAAAAGAATCTTATTAATGTCGGCATCACCATTTATTTATAGGCCCCTATCCTTACATATAAGTATCCTTTAAAAAAAATTTTTTTTTCATTAAAGGGATTGTGTGATATTCCTTGAAATGGATCTACCATACATTTAGCCAATCTCCTATTAGACATTCAAGTTGTTTTCAGTTTTTTATTTTTGTGAACAGTGCTGTCAACAAACTGCTTTGTGTAAATGTGTCTGGGATTACTTTCTGAACATATCTGAAGGGTGCACTTGCAATGGAATTATTAGGTCAAGGGGCATGGTCATTTAAAAATTAAATGCAGCCCTGGCCAGGTAGCTCAGTTGATTAAGAATGTTGTGCGTTGGCTCCCCAGTCAGGGCACATACACGAATCAACTGATTAACTCATAAATAAGTGGGACAACAAGTCGATGTCTCCCTCCCTCCCTTTCTCTCTCTCTTAAATAAATAAATACACTTTAAAAATTAGATGCAGATTGCCAAATTGCCCTCCAAAAATGTTGCTCCAGTCTATCCTCTCATCAGCAGTGTGTGAACATTTGTGTTTTCTTGTACTTTGACCAGAACTGATGTCATCAAACTTTTTTTTGAAGATCTGATAAGTGAAAAAAATTCACAGCGGTATTTCTTTGTTTTACTAATTTGCATTTCTCTATTCTGGAATGATCTGGAGCACCTTTTCATTTGTTTACTGGTAAGAATAATTAAGGTTTTGATTTCGTGGATAGTCACAGGCAGGTGAGCATTCCAGGGAGAGACAGCTATGCAGATACAAAGGCAAAGAATGGGGGAAAGTATTCAAAGAAGATTTATTCAACAAATATTTACTGTGCCCTTACAATAATTAAGGTGCTGTGACCATACAAAGCCATGCAGAGAACCTCTGCCAAGACTTGTTCCTTATCTGGATTGGAAATTCTAAGTGCCCCCAGGCTAAGTTCCAACAGGGAGGTTAAGAATCTGGGTAGGTCCCTTTCTTGTTGGAAGTGTCCTAGTATCTTGTCCTAGGCTTTGAAGGACCAGGAGGGTTTGGGAAAGTGAAGATAGGGATAGGGGCCTATAACAGCTGACAGACCAGATTAGCTTGAGGCCCCTATTGAGAGGAGAAGTGGGGGATGAGACCTCACAAGGGGGTTGAGCCTAGTGCTAGGCTGAGGCCTGGAAATGGCAAAGCAGTTGGAGGGCTTCTGAGCTGCCCTTTTTTTTTTTTTTTTAGAGGCCCTGGGTAGCATAGGAAATTCAGTTGGCCAAAGATCTGATAGTTCCACAGATTTGTGCAGAAGTAAAGAGAAACCCACAAGTAGTTTGAGGACACATTCTCAATCCAGTCCTGATTATTGTTTTTACTATATAGAATCAGAAGTTAGTTAAGGCTAATACCCAAATTATTCTCAAAAATACTGGAGAAAGACAACACCTAGATCAGCATTGGTTAAAATGTTTGGAAGTTTTGAGAGAGCGGACACTTCCAGGAGTGTAAATCTGTGCAACTTCTTCACAAGGTAGTTTGACAACATTTTCTCAGAATTTAAAAAATGCATATATCCTTTGACCTTGGGTACTTTTAAGAATTTATCTTACATATGTCATAAAGAAATACGTGGGAGAATAGTCATTGCAGAATTGTTTAATAATACGAACAACACACACAAACTAATGTTCATCTTTAGGAAGCTAAATTATGCTAACTATACAGCTGAATGCCACGCAGTTGTTAAAAGAGTTGGTACACTTATATCTGTTGACATGATTGATCTCTGATAAAATTGAGTGAAAAAAGGCAAGGTGCAGGGAGTGGGTTCAGTATGATTGCATTTATATTTAAAAGAAATTAAAAGGAAAAAAATGATAGGAAAGCCACAGAGGTGTTGGCAATAACTACGTATGGGGAGTAGGACTGAGGTAGAGGGCAGGGAGAAAGAGAAATGTTTTATTTTATAATCTTTTATGCTAGTTGGGTCTTTTAAAAACCTTGCACATGTATTGGTTTTATATTTTCAAAGACTAGGGTTTCTTTTGTTTTTAAATTTTTTATTTATTGATTGATTTTAGGAAGAGAGGAAGGGAAAGAGAGAGAAGCACTGATTTGTTATTCCACTTATTTATGCATTCTGACCAGGGATCAGCCCGGGAACCTTGGTATATCGTGACAACGCTCTAATTAACTGAGCTACCCGGCCAGGGCCTCAAAGACTAGTTTTAAAAGAGAATACATTTTAGAGTAAAATAATACAGAACTATGCCAGGGGTTTGTGTGGAATTTCGTAGCTCTTAGCAAAAGGGCAGGTACACTCAACAATCATATTACATGTACAGCTTTGGGGACTTTGAGCTGAAGTATCTGCTTGTAACCTTTATTTTTTTAAGTTGTATTGCTTCAGGAAGGTGGATCTAATGGTTATGGCTATGATAATTGCTACAGTTTGTTTAGCCTCTAGCTTGGCACTTTGCATATGCCACCTTTAGTATGTTCTAGAAGCTATGTATTATTACCTTTGTTTTTCTATGGGGACTGAGACACAGAGGCTAAGTGACTGGCCCAGAATCATGTGGTGGGGTAAGTAGCAAAACACTGATTCACATCTGGGTCTTTTAAATTCTTTTTTTTTTTTTTTTTTTTTAATGTATCTTTATTGATTTCAGAGAGGAAGGAAGAAATAAAAACATCAATGATGAGAAAGTCGTCATTGATCGGCTGCCTCCTGCACGCCCTGGGGTTCAAGCCCGCAACCCGGGCATGTGCCCTGACCGGGAATCAATCCATGATCTCCTAGATCCTAGGTCAATGCTCAACTGCTGAGCCACACCTGGCCGGGCTGGGTCTTTTAAATTATTTTCCCCACTGTGCCACATACACTCCCCTGGGAGGGAACTTGGGAAAATAATGACATAAGTCTCAGTCTGCTTGGGCGGCTATAACGAAATAGCACAGACTACATGGCTTTAACAACAGAAATTTATTTCTCACAGTTCTGGGGGCTGGTAAATCCTAGATCAAGGTGCCAACAGATTTAGTTGCTGGTGAGAGCTCTCTTCCTGGCGTGCAGATGGCTGCCATCTCATGTGTCCTCATATGATATGTGTCTCTCAGAGAGAGAGAGCTCTGATGCCTCTTCCTCTTCCAAGGACACCAGCGCTATGGGATTAGGGCCCCACCTTTGTGACCACATTTGACTTTCTTTACCTCCTCATAGGCTTTATCTCCAAATACAGTAATAAATTCAATATATGAATTTTTGGGGACACAAATATTCAGCCCTTAAAAATATAATACCAATAAAGAGAAGATTTACATGCACAAAGTAATAAGAGACTGGTCTAAGACAATGTATAATAAAGTGTTAAACTTTACTGTTTTATATATATATATATATATATATATATATA